CAGCATTATCATACTTTAGGGAGATAGGAGGAAGTTTATTTTTACGAGTATATACTACGACAGCACTTTTAGAAGCAGACAGTTGTAACCCATTAGAATCCATCCAATATTTTAAATTAGATAAAGCAGATGTTAATTTAAGAAGCGAATCCTCAATGGAATGACTAATGTAATACAATAAAAGGTCATCGGCGTATTGAAGTATTTTGATATATTTATTTGAGCAAATATTATCTTCTAAATCGTATGTATAAACATTATACAGAATAGGACTAAGGACTGACCCCTGCGGAAGGCCTTTTGAAACAGTCCGAGAATAAATAATATTGTCGTAATATATTTCTATTTTGCGTTCTGTTAAAACGTTGAGAATAAAATTTATGAAAATGGGAAGGTATACCTAAAGATAATAGTTTGATTTTGAGAATATCCAATAAAACATTATCATACGCAGAAAACAGCTGTTACTGAATCATTATTAGAGAAAGCTATGCGAATATCTGTAGTGAAGATAGCAATATTATCGAGTGTGTTTCTACCTTTCTAAAGCCATACTGAGTATTGGCTAAAATGCCTTTACTTTCTAGAAACCAATCTATATGGTTTTTTTTTTAAATGCTCCGCTAGTTTTAGTAAAACTGAAGACAAAGCAATGGGTCGATATGAAGAAGCTTTAGAAGGAATTTTATTTGGTTTTAAGATTGGCAACACTGTTTGACGTTTCCAAGATGAGGGGATATTACCTGAGATCATTGAAGAGTTTATTAAATCTAAATAATACTGTAATGTGTTATTGCACACGTTGGAAAGAAAAGCATATGGGATACCGTCGCTCCCAGGGGCAGAGTTTTTCGTATTTTGGATGATACCTTTTAACTCATATAGACTAAATGGAGCACTAATATCAGAGTCAGTTAAGGATGAAGAGATGGAGATATTGTTCGAAACCCAGGGAGGAGGTAATTTATCTAAGAAAGGGTTTATTAGCTGTGGTGGTATCATTGATGAAGAGTTGTTATTGACAGCCGATTTGAATCTTTTAATGTTTTGCCAAACTAATGTTGGAGAAGTGTTAGGGGAGATAGAGGTACAGAACCTAAGCCACCCTTCAAATTTTTTTTGTTTAAAAAGTTTTTTAGTTTTTGATATCAACTCTGATATTTTATCATAATTAGATTCAGTCATATTTTGTTTATATATATTCTCAGCAGATTTTCTTTGTTTCACAGCTTCTGTACACTCATTGTCCCACCATGGAGGAGATTGAATTTTATTGGGGTAAACTTTTTTAGGGAAGACTTCATTAGCTGCATCTATAAAAAGATTACTCAAAGCTTCAGCTCTTTCAGGCTCAGATCTAGAGTTGATGTTAGGGAGCAAATATAATTTTGACTGAACTGAAGTTGTGAATTTTTCCCAGTCTTTACTGTCTTTATTTGGAAGCCTATGTTTGAGATGGGAGATTCGACAGGGGTTTGAAGGTTTAGAGAAAGGAAAAGTTATAATAATAGGATAATGATCACTACCATAAGATGAAGAAAGTATCTGCCAAAAAAGAGAAGATGCAAGACTAGGAGAACATAATGACAGATCAACAGCACTTTTATTTTGATTTGGTTTTGTTACACGTGTAGCTTCACCAGTGTTTAAGATACAAATATTATGACAATCAATAATGTCTAGTAATTCATCCCCATAATTGTTTGTATTTGAACTGCCCCACGATCGATGATGGCAATTGAAATCACCTAGTACTAGAAAAGGTTTAGGCAAATTATTTAGAATTAAACGAAGTTCATTTAAAACAGGAATAGATGGATGGGAAATATAAAAATTGTAATATGATGACGTCTTTATTATACAATCATATACCCAATACCATAAGAGAGTTGCCATTCGCTCTGTTTGCAAAAAAGCTGAAACTGTGGTTAGTAGAGAAAGGTTTTTACTCTATTAACGAATATTTTGCTTGCAGAATTTAAAGTTAACTACGAGTATATTAATGATAAAGGTGTAGGCATATTGTTCTGACATAAGATGTATAATGTATTTATCTTTTATTAAAAATTTAATGATAGCGGACATATTTAATATTTTTTTATGAAAAATAATAGTGATGTACATTTAATGATTTTCATGACATACAAATTAATTGCTCTTTTTATAAATTTCTATATTCTGCGTGCCTAAAATTTGTGTAATATATAGCGGTTATAAACTAATATTAAGATCGAATGTATTATTACCATGTTACTTGCAGAATAAAATATTTTGTATTTGTGTTTAAGTACTGATATTAATAATTTAATAAAATCTGTGATGGATATCTGAGTCTTATTTTCATCCTGAAGTTTATTATTGAATACACACCCATCTGCAGGAATAGGACTATCGAATTCCTTTATAAGAGCCTTGTGAGCTTCAATATCATAACCCTGCGTTAGTTTAAGTGGAGTGCGAGGTTTAAGAAATACTGTCATTTTATATGAAGAAGTAGGAGAATTACTTTTATGGTCTACATTTGATGTTGAATTTTTATATAAAGGAGTTTTAAAAGAATTAGTGGAGACAACATTGGAATATGATTTTGAAACTTTAGGAAAGGATTTTGATGCTTCTACATAGGATGTGCAATTATTTGCCATATAGACCTTGATTTCTTTTTGTCGTATGTACTCTGGACAAGATTTGTTTGTAGCAAAATGGAATCCTTCACATAAGCAGCAAAAACATTACTGTCTTCCTCTGTTTCACAAGAATCACCCGAATGATTTCCTCCACACTTAAAGTATCGGGATTTGGACCTACACTGGTTTTTGGTATGGCCAAAACGACAACAATAGTAACATTGTATTGTTGGATAAATATACAGATCTACTGGCAAAGCATTGAAACACATGAAGACACGTTTTGGTAAAATTTGTCCATCAATAGTAATTACAACTGATTGTGTGGGCTTCCATATAACCGAACCTCCTTGGGAAACTTTATAATTGATACGTCTTACTTTAATTATCTTGTCACATCCCATTGGGACAGTAATATTTTCGAGAACTTCTTCAGGTGTCCATTCTGAAGGGACACCTCGTACAAGACCCATTCAGGTTACATTGAAAGTTGGTATAAAAGCTTATATTTAATTAATTTCTAGTTTTTTGTTAGTGATGAAAGAATTTGCAGACATATAATCAGAAAAAGCTAGTGAGACTTTATTGCGGCCAATAAGTTTTACACTACCGTTGACAATATTTTCAAATTGGTTATTTTTTATAAACCTTCCAAAAGTAACAGGATGAATTGAAGTGTTATCGTGAAGATCAGCTTGTATTTTTGCACATGAACAGTAAATGGGGAAATATCATTTTTATTGTAAAGAACGTGGCCAATTGGTGTTGGTGTGACTGTGGCCTGTGTACAGTGGCGTAGCTAGGTAACCTAGGGCCCTGGGGCAAATAAAAAAATGGGGCTCACTGCTATCAAAACTAGTAAGGTTTTTAGAAGTAAAATCATTAACTATACAAATACTTTAAAAATGCTAAGCAACTTTATCATCAGCTCTTATTCGTGCATGGGCAGGTAATAAAACTATTAAACACTAACAAAATAAATTACAATTATTTTTATGCTTCGTGTAGGTATTGGGAAATAAAATGAAATAGAAAAGATTCAAGGGTTTATTATATATTTATTCATAGATACGTTGCACCAGCTTACTGTTATTTAACCTATCGCCATGCCAGCTATTTACAAAAATTATCAATAGAAATATTTTGTCCCGAAGTACTTGCAGAAGATTAACTAAAAAACTTGGCAAATTTGGCAAATTTTTTTCTTGTCCATAATATTAGTTTTCTAATTTATTTATGCAATAATTATATAAGATTGTACTCAAGTAGGTACTCACTGTTCACTGACAACGTTACAAGTAAAAGGAAAGCGAAACGTAATGATACGATACAAGACGTCGTTGGGGAATCCCCGGCAAACATTTTATTGCCGCCAGTGTTACTACATTTGACGGTTTAAAAAATGATAAAATAACATCACGTAATTATGGACGGCCCCCTACCCCATATGACTTGTATTTTTCACGGTATTTTGAGTTATATAGTGAGTAGCTGAAATCTATAGAATTTTTTACGTAACTATGTATACGTACTACAATCATCGACATTATATTGATCGAAGACTACAATCAAATAAAATTGAACTTTTGTATGGACCAGTACAAATAATTATGGACATACGCTTACTTACTCCTATACATTAACTTTTTAACCATTCTCGAAAAAAAATCTTGACTCGAAGTTCACAATCGTGAATCACAAAACGCATATCGATAAATAATATTATGCAGATGTTAATATCCGATAAATTGATGAAAACATTAATAACACTGTCAACCCACACAACTAATTTAGGGGAATTCCCTTTTTATAACTTTGGAATTTCTCACAACTGAGTTGCCATGATTAAACTCGAGTTGTCACCTGTCATATTTATTTTGAAAATGGGAGAAATTTTCAAAAGTTGAGTTCGATTGAGATATTCTGGTAAAGATTCGAGGGCCCCCTGAGCTTGAGGGCCCCGGGATACTGCCCCGCCTAGCCCCTTGGTAGCTACGCCACTGGCTGTGTAGTAGCAGATGATGAAATAGAAACATTAAAATCTTTGTCAACTGATTGTGTCTTTTTTTTTGTTACATTTGAAGTAGATTCTTTTCTTGGTGAAAGATCAAAACAATTGCAATCATTTTTTGAGTCAGAACTATGATTACGGCGAGGTTTTTTATTGCAGTGCTTACATACATATACGCGACTGCGTTTGAGTGATCGTCCTGATAATGAACCGTCGGTTTCCATTCCAGATTCATTAGAAACGGTAACAAAAAGTCCAGCCGGGGGAACATAGTCCCCCGACGGTTCTATGTCCGGAGGCTCGTTCATAAAATAAAACGTAAAAACTTACCAATAAACTGCTATAATACACTACAAACTAATACTAAATAAATTTAAAAGTAACTAAGATGAAAATATACAAATCTGATCACCAATACTTAATAAAATAAAATAAAATTCTTTTCAAACTCGAAAAACGTGCCCACCAAGTTCGACGTTTCCCGCCTTTTTTTCAAATAATTGTTTATTTTTTATAATTTAGCCTTAATAAGACAAAGGGCTTATACAAAAATATTAAAAAAAAAACAAGTCTCAGGTGATGAGCTATCAGAGATCAATTGATATATGTGAACCGATGAGATACCTCATATCATATCGCTCAGCCTTATATCGTCAATACGACAGGTGGTCGGAGATGTTGGCGGCCTCTGAAACGGGTGATGTGTTCGCCCTCCTGGAGGGCGGAGCACGCGGCGGACGCGACACCCTCGACGCGTTCGCGGGCGTGTACGGCGCCGTGCGCGAGCCCTGGCTCACCCGTACGCTGCTCCTCTACCACGCGCGCTCCGGCTCCGTGCGCGCCCTCGACCTGCTGGCGCGTGCGCCCGACAACCACGCGCGGCATCTGCTGGACGCGCTGCACGACCAGTTGCGCGCGCCCGACGAGCCGGCCCGCCACCACGCGCTCGCCGCGCTCGCGCCGCTCGTCGCCCGCCGCCCGAGCTGGCTGCACCGCCTGCCCGCGCATCCGGTCGCGCGCGAGCTCGTGCGCGCCGCCCGCCACGAGCGCGACCCGCTGCCGCTGCTGCACGCGCTGCTCGCGCTCGCAGCGCTGCTGCCGGCCGCGCCCGCCTTCGCCGCGCCGCTCTGCCCCGAGCTGGCCGACGCGCTGCTGCGCCCGGCGGCCCTCGAGCCCTCGCCGGCGCCGCCGACGCGGGCCCACCTGCGGCTCGCCCAGCTCGCGCTGTTCCACGTGCTGTACGCGACGCACCCGTGCACGCTGCTGGACGCGCTGCGGGCCGACCTCGGCTCGATCGCCGCCCGCGAGGCCCGCGAGGCCCGAGAGCGCGACGTCGCGGATCTGCTCGCGTCCGTGCGGCTGCATCCCGCCCTGGTGACCGGCTCCCGGCAGCGCGAGGCCGACGCCGCCCGCTGGGCGCGCGTGGAGCCGCACGACGTGCTCGCCGAGTGCCGCCACCTGGAGGTGGACGCGGCCGCGCCGCTCGGGCTCGGGCCGCTCGGGGAGCCGGGCACTCCGCCCCCGCCGCCGCGGCCGCCGGCGTCCCCCGCGCCGGGCTCGGGCGCGCACGCGGCCCGCGCGGCCGGCTCGCTGCGCCCCGGCGCCGAGCCGTGGTTCCCCCTCGGCGACCGCTGCGGCGTCGACTCCGCCCCGAACACGCCGCTGCCGGGCGACGCGGACGCCGCGGAGCCGCCGGAGGCCGCCGTCGAGGCGACGCCGGAGAACACGCCGGCGCGGGAAACGCGGGCGCGGTTCCGTTTCCCGACCGACACGGGCGCGGCGCGCGCGATCGGCCGCCGCGCGGAGACTTCGCCGGCGGGCGGCGAGGCGTTCTCGGCGCGGCTGGCGCGCGTGGCGCACGAGCGGCGCGCGGCGGACTCGCCGGTGCCGTTCGGGGGAGGCCCGCCCGCCGGGCCGGTGGCGCGGCCGGAGCCCCGCGCTCCCGGCGCCGGGGCCGGCGATGCGGCCGCCGCGGGCGGGGAACAGCTGGGGGAGGAGGATCGCGAAGTGCTGGAGCTGACGTCGGGCGACGCGGCGCCGGCGGGCGAGTGGGCGGAGTGCCCGACGCCGGCGCTGCCGCCGCGGGATCCGCGCGAGGCGGCGGCGGAGCGCGGACGGGGCGGGGCGCGGGAGGGGGCGCGAGAGGGCGCACGTCGGGCGGCCTCGTGCCCGCCGCGCGCTCCGGCGCGCTCTCGCTCGGTCGCGGCGCAGACGGTGGACGCGTGGCCGGCGCCGTACGAGTTCCTCGTTTCCGACTTTTACCGATGCCCTCCGCCCGCTTCGAAGAAACATGTGAGTATGAACGCGGTTTATTTTTCAGACGAAGTGTGTTCTTTAAAAAATTTAAAATAACCCCAGTAACCTTAAGATAAACTTATTATAATAATTTGTATTGCCATTGTTACACTGAAAAATATTCTTAATAAAACCAATCAAAATAATCCATCAAGATTTCCAAAGTTTTTTGGGATACATAATATATGTCATTTTAGTAAAACTGAAAATGACTCTATTGAATTAATTGATTCTTCTTATCCGGATAACTCATTAAATGGTTATAATAAATATTTTGCTGATATTGGGAAAACTCTGGCTGACAATTCTGTCAAAAATAAACACATCAGAGGCAAATCTGGCTGCTCAAGTTGGTTCTGATAGTCTGTCAGCTAAATCCTTATATATGTGATGAGGAGGAAGTGGCCCGATACATCAAAGAATTTAAGGTTGATAGTGCTCCTGGTATAGATGGATATACTCTGGTATACTCTGCTTCTCATCAAGCAAATTCAACTAACAATTCTCGAACCTATTACTCATATTTTTTTATATTCCGAAAAACTGGAAATTAGGAGTAATAACACCAATCCACAGAGACGGCTGCAAATCAATATCCAGTAACTATAGATAAGTAACCTTATTGAGCGTCTTTCTAAAGTTACTTGATAAAATAGTAAGCAAAAAACTGGTATCTTTTTTTGGAAAACCGGGCGTCTTTCTTGATTGAAGGATTGATTCTAATCCTTCTACGGAAACTCGAAAGGATTGGTATTAGGGGTCTGGCATACGACTGGCTAAACTCTTCTCTTACGAGAAGGCGCCAATGTGTCAGAATTAATTTAGAACTGAGTGGGCCAATTCCAGTTGCTCCTGGTATAGATGGATGATGAATAGATTGTTGTTCAACCTGTCGACCACGATAGATATTCCTTTATTTGCTGTTTCATAAACAGTATCCCAAGTTTTATCTCTACCGCATCTAGTACATACCGCATACAACATCATATCTTAAGATCCACTTATGTAATAAATATTGGCAATATTGATTCCCACTTCTTATGTTAATGTTTGCCTATAGAGCTCACAGACTTCATAATATATTTAGGTGTAATCATTGACGAAAAACTGTCTTTTAGACAACACGAATCGGCTTTGTCTGGCAAAATCAGGAAAAGGCATTCACATAATGAAATCGTTATGTAATTCTGTAGATAAAAATACCATCAATTGGTGTATTATGCAATCTGCCAATCTTGCCTCCTGTACTGCATATCAACCTGGGGAGGGAATGCTAAAACAACGTTGACTAGTGTTAAAAGTAATGTCGTGCAAGCCTTTCCGATGTTCTACCAATGAACCATATGGGGAAAGTGGTGTTCTTCGTGTATATGACAATTTTTAGAATAAACTAGCAACATTGGCGAATTTTTCGTGTGTCTTACTTTTTCGCTTCTTTGGAACGCATTTTTGTCAACGTTCGGGCATTCGATGAGATTGCCTAGTACTTTTCAAGGTACAAGGAATGAAGTACGAAGAGTACGTTTTTTAACAAATTTTCATGAACAACCAAAAAACTTAGACGTTTTATGGAAATCATCCTAGTATCAAAATTAAAGTATATAAACGAAACGAGCGAGTCGTTCGGTCGTGTACAATGTTGCGGCTCATGCGAAGCGATCTAAAATTTTGCTAATATTTTTGCTGGACATTAAACTTGACGGGGCTCGTGTGAATGAGTGTGAATATAAATGTTATACGGGCTCGTTCGCTGCGCAGGACGAGGTGGGCGTGGGCGCGTACCTGCGCGCGCTGTACGCGGGGGGTGCGGCGGGTGCTGGGCATGCGGGGGCGGGTGCGGGGGCGGGGGCGGAGCAGCAGCTGGCGCTGGCGCTGGCGTCGCTGGGGCACGAGCGGTGGCGGCGCGAGGCGCACGCGGAGCGCAACCGGCGGCTGCTGGGGCGCTGCCGGCGCGCGCAGGCGGCGCTGCTGCACAACCACGCGCTGCGCGACCGCGCGCGCCTCATGCAGCTCGAGCGGGACCAGCTGCGCTCCAGGTAACCGGTGGACACTTGATGTGTCGTTCTGTCATTCTGACATGAAAACAGCCAACAGACTTGTCGGTCTGCGGGACTCGACACGATCCACAGGTCGCCCTGTCTCGTGTACCACGAGAGTCTGGAACGCCTTCCGACGTTTCGAGAAATATTCTATAGTAGCATAGTCAAAAATTATATTGTCCTTCTTGGAAATTTTGTCAGAATCTCTTGGGCGATGAAATTACACCCGGATCCTTCTTTTTTGTTCTCGAGTTACTTTATAATTTTGGAGGAAGCGAGACATTTGAAGAGTTCGATTAAGTATACTTTCCATGATAAAGATTACCAAATTAAATCCAACCCGGGCCCACACCTTCCCTTTGCAACTATTTTTTTTTTCACCGAACGACAGCAGAACTACATTCGTATTCAATTTTTCACCAGCACAAAGCAAAAAAACCAGCTCAAAGCTATAATCTTCCATAATTTGCGGTAAATAAATCAGTAACTAAATCACTTCCGCTCAGAAAAGACATCAAAACAAAATGGCGAAAAAATGTTTGAACGATACACCGGCCAAATAAATTATCCCTTTGCGCAAACGCCACTCTTTCGATTATTGCTTAATTAAATCCGGTTGCGATAAGCAGTGCCTCTCAAAACCGTAACACACGCATAAATTTTACACGCACATACAAATGATTTCTACGTACAACACGAGTTTAAACCTGTCGTGTTTGTATGGCAAATAAGCAGCAACAAGTGCATCTTACGGCCGCATCGATGGCGGCGGCGCCAGCACAACTGTCGGCTGAAAATATTCCGCTAACTAGATCGTTATAGTAGATCTGTCTAATTTTGATGGATGGCAATTTAACTAGTTTAACCAAATCATGATCGTGAGTCTCTGTAAATACTCGTATCTAGTTAAAGCATGAGGATGTAAATGAGAACTAAACAATGTAGGTTTCATGTGTAGGGAATACAGGGCTTATTTATATTTGTGGTGTGCGCGCCACTGACTCGAACCCATGACCTTTCGCAAACCGGGCGACTGCACTCATGTTTTTTTTTACATGAGGTTTTATTCATAAGGTAGATACATAGAAACAAAATTTTATTACCTATGTACATATAAAAAAATATCTGTGGAGAGTGAAATCCGGAACTTTTTCTGAAAAGGGTATGTAGGGTTTTGTCCTACATCTATGGAAAGTTTGTGGTTCGAGGTAAACGACGTCACTGTTTTTATAGTTTATTTCACAAATGTTTAAAATAGTAAAAAGTTGTTATAAATGTTTGTTAGTTGGTGGCTTACGCTTAACTAACTCTAATAACAATTGAATTACATTATAGCGGAAAATGCTGATCCGCATAAATACGTACTTTGACTCGAGCCACTTATATTGTGCGATTGCATAACCGTACAGGGTACAAACAATATCAGCGCCTCGCTTAGTGGTTCGGAGTTTTGCAGTTGAGAATCGAAACGGCTTGAAGGTGCTTACTTTTAGGACGGTTCTCTGTGCTATTTCCAACTTTAGTTTGGTCGTCTTATGAGTGCTGCCCAAACTGTTATATAGTGTGTAATCTCAGACTGATACAGAGCAAGATATGTTGCCCTGAGTAAGTAGTCGTTTACGTCTCTAAGATTTTTGAATACGAAAACTTCGATATGCGTTAAAAAATAAAACCGAGAGATTATTTTACTGCTATCGTATAAAAGGAGAAGGCATAGTTCATTGATATATACAAGAAATAGAAAAGGCCTAATAATACTCCCCCGAGGGACACCATACTCAACCAGCAGTTATCCACTTATGCATTATCGATTATCATTAGTTGTATTCTATTAGAAAGGTAATCATCCGTGATAAGTTAAAAAGATGTATCTCGAATGATTGTTTTAGTCGATCTTCCTTTCGATAGTCTGAAGTTCATGAACTGCATTGTCAGTTGACCTGCCAGCTGTGAAATCGTACTGGGAAGTTGCTAGAAGAATTTTATTTTCGAAGTATTTTACTAGTCTTCTATCTATAATTATATTTAAAAAATCTTTGAAATTGTTAGTAGTACTGCAATATGACGATAGTTATTAATAGAGGCTCTATCTCCACTTTTGAAAATAGGATGAATAACGGCCCCTTTTCAACACCCTTGGAAACAGTCCATTTGAGTAACTACCCGTCGAACATCGTCCTAAATCAGCTCCGTGTTAAAACTAAAAGAGAAAGCGTTATCCAAGACATTCCTTCGCTGAAGACGAACCAAAACAGAATTAAGTTTTTTAAAATCTCTATCAAGTAAAAAAGTGTGCAATCTCCGTAATCAAGTGGTAAAAAGTCATCATGATTCTGTACTTAATCAAAAGTAAACAAAATCAAGTGCTTCAAGTGATAAATATCTCAGCAATATTGGAAGTGCACATTGAACAAAGCAACGGTGCCATTCCATATTGCTGGAAAAATTAATGTTGGACTTTGAAGCCAATGTTCAAAAGAAACAAACAAAGTCTATGTCAAAGGAAACAATTTGACCACAGAGTACATGTATACGTGTAGCAAATACTTGTTTGTGCGTGTCAAATGCATAGTAGTGTGTGTAATGTTTTATTTATCCATTTAATGTACTTAATAAGCTTTATTATTGAAAAATATGAGCCGCTTTCACTTCTCCTACATATAAACTATAAGTGTGCCAAATTTCATACTCCTCCATCCTCGCAATTTTCGTAGAAAGGGGTCCAAAGTTTTTGCTTCACGTATTAAAATATAGATAAAAAATAAGTTTTCAATATTTTGGATACTGCAAAGTAAGATGACTTCAATTTTATATCAAATTGGGTGAACCCTTATAAATATGATTGATCATACATAGGCATTATAATCTGAAGCTTATAATTGACATGTAATATACGATCACGCGAGTAGGAGATCAAGCGAAGACAGCGTTGCGCTGCTGCAATTAAGCATCGAGTAGTTTACAGTGATCGCACGTCTAAGGTTTTCGATAGTAAATTCTTATCGGGTTAAGTTTACGTCTTCAAGGCTAGCTGAGGTAGTGGGCAGCCACCTCTGCATTGCAGGGCCTCACCTTTCTGGGAGAGGCTCTCGATGGACCCGAGCCTGATAGGGAACAAAGATCCAATACTTGAGTGTTCAGGTGATTCCTGGTGAGTCCTACTCACCCCCTGTTGCTTGGCGGGTAACAGGAACATCGCCAGAAGCATTTTCTCGACGTTAAAAAAAAATAAGTTCACGTCTCAGCAGATACTTTCGCCAAAAAGGTACACAAATTGTAAGAATACCTCGAAAAAGGTCAAACCTGCAAAATTGCTAAAAGGATGAGATTCTTAACAAGACCCTGCAGTGAGACGTAAGGAATCCTACAGAAACTTTGTCTCAGCATTAATCTGAACCGAGTTTACACCGTTGTCGAATGAGTGAAGGCAACTCGATTTATATCAGTATTTTTCCTCTTAACAGTCTCATGTTACTCTTTTTGTTTATTTTTGACATTCAATTCGCTTTACTTTAAAGTTGGTATCTGCAGTCTTCACTGGAGATACAGGTTTATTCACCTATCATGAGGCTCATGCATTATTACATGAGTCTGAGGCTCGGTGCAAACCTGTCGCAGTTTAGTTAAGCACCTCACGTTAGACATACGCATGTATGACGAAAGATACGTGGCGGCATGTCTGTCGACCCTAAGACTTTTACTGACAAACAAAGTCAATTGAGCTCTCAGAGAGTTCGGTCACAGGAAGCGCTCGGTCACAGGAGATACTTGACGGGCGTGAAGCGTATTGAAATGCCCATCGCCAAGCGATGATGCACTATCAAGTTGAATCTGGAGCATTCATTGTTAAGAAATAATCTTGAGCTCTCAAAGAACTCATACAGCAAGCGTTTGATCACAGAAAACTCCTGAAGATAACCTAGCAATGTCAAAAAGAAAAATAACTATCGTAAGGCCGTTCATAGGGCCCAAATAATATTATCTTGAGCTCCTCCATGCTTGGGAATGCAAGTTAAGCCGTTGGTCCCGGCTGCATTAACACCCACCGATTCGCATTGGGCCCGCGTAGTGCGATATGGACCATTGATCCTACTCAATTGGATCCCATTCGTAGGAAAGAAAGAATTATCCTGACATATATGTACTTTCCCACGCTGACGAAGTCGCGGGCATAGCTAGTACATAATATTTTCGTAACTCAAGCAACACCAGCGACATCTCGGGTGCTTAACCTTAAAATAATATCCATAAGCTAACTTGGACTCCCTGTTAAATAGCATCAAACATTGTAGTTGGATAATCTACCTTGAGATATGATTTCACAGGGAAAGAGGAGTATGTTAAAGTCGTCTTAGAGCAAATAAATTCACTGATACAATCCTCTAAGTAAGTAATAAATATTTTCTAGCGGCAATACCAGAGACTAACCAAAAAGAAACAGAAAATGCTCTAAAGCAATTCAAATGTGATTTTAAACAAACTTGGAACATTTAAAATTAAAAACAACAATATTTCAAGACTGTAAGAAAATATTGAATTTTTAAAAACCGGTCATTTAAAGTGACAACATAGAATAACAAAATGACTTAAAAAAACTTGAGGAATTCCATATTCCAGTCCTCAACCAAATCCAATGACAATTATGAAAAATGTATTGTTCTGCACGGTTTGGAATCAAACTATGGAGAGGCAGAGGATCTAATTAAAGAAACAGTTTCATACACATTCAATGATATATATTCATTATACAAATATCACAATATATATGGCTGGTTTCAGGCTAATGGCATATTACTGAATGCTAATAAAAGTATAATAACGCATTACCAGTAGTGTCCGAGCGAAGGTCTATTTTTGGCCGAAGCCGAAGGTATATAATCTCTCAGTAATTAATTTTGTTCTATATTGTCTCCAGCTACAATTGATATTAATATTATTTCAAAACTTCAATATTGAAGGTATATATTGACTGTCTCATATAGAAGTTCATTTAGAGATGGC